CTACACCACACCACACAACGACTTTTAGACTGTGGAGGTTTTTGGTAAACAGTTCGTGAGGATTTTCTGCTCCCCAGTACCTAAAGTTTTGCTTGTTAACAACACCGTCCAAATGAAAATTTGCTTCGTCGCTCATTAGCAAATTATGTATTCCTCCATGGTGCTGATTTAAAAATTCTTGACAAAATGTCAACCTCGCTTCTTTATCTGTATCACTGAGGTGATGCGCCATTTGGTATTTATAGGGGTGAAATTTTAAATCTTTATGCAGAATTCTGTGGAGACTTCCCTTGGATATTCCTAGGGCAAGTGATTGCCGATTAGCAGATCTCTTAGGGCTTCTTGTGAAGGCAGCTCTCACTCGTTCAATATTTGCAGGCGTACGCACCGTTCTTCGACGTCCAGGTTTTTTAATGTTTTGCACAGAGCCATTTTCACGCCAATGACGAACCCATGCCGAAATTGTAACGCGTGTTGGTGCATCGCCCCTATTATTATTTCCAAACTGCCGTCGAAATGCACGCCGAACTTCTTCCACTGAACCAGTTCTAATGTAGACTTCCACGGAAAACACACGCTCTTGAATTGAATAATTCATAACGCAATGAAAATTGTTAAAAAATGAAAATTAAATTAAGTTGTGACATTTGTGACTAAAACAATGAAGTGTTTACTTTTGTCGTTGCTTAGAGACAGGCGCCTACTTGTTAAAATGTGATCCTAATGGTGTAGCATCATTTGGTAATATTGGTTTGATTTGCTTCGTCGAGTAATGCGAAATTTTAAACTTAGAATTCAAAATTGCATTGAAGTCGAAGGAGGGCATTTGGAAGATATGATCTTTAAAAATTGAATTATTATTTATTTCAGTCATAAATCCCATAAAATTAGCTACATGTCAGTCCATTAAAAAGTTAATTTACTTTGATCAGAAAGTTTTTATTCGACTTTTAAACTGCATAGTCTAATATGGGGAACCCTGTACAAGGGCGTTTCGTTGTAGTACCAACCTTACATAAACTAATTGAGTGAACTAAATATAATATATGCGAATGAAATTTATACAACACATATAAGATTGCATATATTTTAAATGTTTAATGCATGGCAATTAACTTTTTATTTGATTAAAAGTGTCTATTTATTTATCTAAAATATCCTATTTAAAGTATCTATTTAAGAGTAATTGAATGAATTATGACAGAATATATATACTGTTTGTTTTGCAAAGAGATCTTTTCAATTTTTGTTTCAAATTATTATTAGATTGCAATGAGATCACGAAAAATTTATTTAATATTAATTATTACTACATATGTTTACGACTGTAATAATTTTATAGTTGAAGCATTAAATACAGCATACAGTATTGCCATATTTCCTTTCATTGGATCAGATGTTTGTTCAAATTTGTCAAAATGTTTTCTATAAATTCCATTATCTCAATAATTACCTTGTAAGTGCATATTTTTATTGTTTTAAAATGTTTAGTAATATTTGATTCTTTAATTACAATTTTATTTTCCTGAACCTAACCATTTGTAAAAGCAATATTCACGTTTGATTAAAGTTTTTTCCCAACTCTCATAAGAGTCTGTGTATAAGAGCATAATTTTTAATATCATTTTTCAAAAAAACTACATTGGCAATCAATCTGATATTTTTACACGAGGCAGTTTGCATATTTATTAACAGATTTCAATTGCTTTGAAAACTTTCTTACCATATTTTTTTCGGAATTGAACCTCCTTAAAACATCATCGGAGCGAACCGATTTTACAATTGACAGGCAATTGGCACAATACAAATTTGCAATCAAATGTGGTTGATCGACCTTGAAGCAAATTGACCCTAAGTAAATTTAGTTGTTGAGAAAAAATAAGTGGTGTTTTATAAAAAAGTTATCTACTTGTAAAAGTATTTTTAATATATTCTATTTACACCTGGCAAATTCTGCATACATTTAATAATGTTTTAGGAAACATTCCAAAAGCAGGCACGAGTCGAGGAGTAAAAAGAAATCAAAGAAACGACACAGAAGATCAGAGTCGGAGTCAAGTAGTTCAAACAGCTCATGACATTTGAGGTACCACTATCATCATTAGGTGACAGAGAAACGTATTACGTAATTTGAGTTGTGCGTTTTTATGATACAGACATTTTTTATAAAAATTGTTACGTATATATTATTATATTGTGTAAATAGAAGTGTAAATATACAGTTTTATTTATTTAATAATTTTTTTGTTTAAAATGTTGAACATTTTAAAACATTTCTTCTCAAATTGAACAGGGTGTTTCAGGAACTTCAACTTTGATTTGAATGGTCAAATAAAACAAAATATGTGATAATGCTTAATTTTTAAAATTCAGGGTGCTAAAACTTGAGAGAAAAATTAAATTTTTTTAAATATCTCCGAAGATCTATAATGTAAATAGGGGTATTTAACCAGGGATACGCATACACTTAGGGGTATGTAAAGACTTCTTAAGGCGTAGGCGAAAGGAACTTTTAGAATAGATAGGTACATAGAGTCAAAAAAGAAAATTAAATTAATTAGAAATTAAACAATTCCATTAGTTTTCACTATTCCACAATAGTATTTTATTAGTATAGCGCCGTTGAATATGTTCTCGCTGTTTTCCAACAGATGGCATTACCAGAACTGAAAGCGTGTAGTTTAAGATGGTAATGCAGCTATGAAGAAGTACTATAAGCAAGCTCGAAATTCAGTGTATGTAATTTCGTCGAAGTGTAAACTACTTTTTTTTCAGTGTTGAACATGTCGAATTTTATGCCAGAAAAGAGTATTTGCGTGGAATTTTACTGCATTACTTTGTTCAAAAGAAATTGTAGCTAAAACACACGGCATTCTTGTAGAGACTTACGGCAACCAGGATCTATCGCAAACAATATGCAGAGATTGATTTACATCAGTGGTATTCAAACCCTGGACTTCCCCACAATTTCTCTGGGCGTTTCGCGATTCACTCAAAAATTTTAAATCAACAATATTGATACTACAAAATTCAAAAAAATGTATACTCTTAAAACAATTATCGAAATGTTGGTCGGGTTCCGCAAGTCATAAAAGTTTGAAGACCGCTGGTTTAGATTCCCAAAATTCCCAAAGTGGTCTGTATCGACCCCTAGGGGTCAACTCGGAACTGCAAGGGGTCCATGTCAGCAAAAACAAAAATTGGGGGTGCATGCGATGTAAATGGGGGTACACGAAAATTGATCCCATTTAAGCAGGTTGTCACCAAAATTTTCGCTTTCCATAAATGAAATAATTCACTTAATACAGATAATACCTGTGTACTTATATAATATAATAGACATACAGGGTCGGAAAGTCCCCATGGTTCATTGGCCGTTACGTGAGAGCGATAAAGAAAGTCATAGAAATCCGTGCGATAGAGGAAGATGGCTATAATGAAGGCGTCTAATAGTCACCACCCATTTCGCCCTTCCACAAATAAAAAGTGGATCTTATTTATCGCTCTCACGTAACGGCCGATGAACCATGGGGACTTTCCGACCCTGTAGATAAATTACATATGAAGTAAAAATTTTAAAAATAAATGTTTATGAAACATGATGAAGATTTGGAGCTAGATTTGGGGAACTTTATGACTCCATGCTTTAATAATGGGAAAATTTAAGATCGATGATGGGATAAATTTCCATAACTTAATTGCTTTGAATTTTAGTTAATGCTAATTATGAGAATATTCTCTTGAATTCAATCAACCTATTTCATATTACTTATAAAATTATTGTTATATTTTTGTTATTGAAATTTAAGTTATTATTTTCTTATATGTTAAGCTGTTTAAGAATTATAAATTTTATAGTAAACAATTATTTTATTTACTACACTCAATTACATATTAATTAAAGCCCATTTCATAAAATTATGCAGTAGGCTATTCACTTTGTGGTCACAACACTTATTGTAACTTGTAGAAACTTGCAATGTGTCAACTGTCAAAACACATTTGAAGTTGATGAATTTGTATCAAATCAACATTAGGAAGGTGGGGTGTTTTGCTGGTTTTAATGTTAGTGGACTGTATGTGTTTCTCTTGTAGTTTTTTAGCAACTTTGCTAGTAGGTTAGGTTTCAAATATAAAGTACAATAGAACTTAACTATTTTATTCGACATGAGACATTACATGTATGACTCTACTGTTCGATTGTTGTTTTACTACTCTACTGTTAGTAGGCGACTGAGCAGTGAGCACGTCTTCTTTCGTTTTACATACTGACAACAAAACAAATAAAACTAATCATACAATATTTGAATTCGAGCGGTAAAATTTCTATCTAACCAAAACAAAAAAAATTGGCACGTGGTCTACAAGATAAAACAGTTTGAGAACTTCTCGTTTAGATGCTTCAAAAATATCAATTTTGATGTTGAAGATAAAGAACGCTCTGGCACACTGAAACAGTTTGAAGATGACGAATTGGAGCCATTACTTCATGAAGACTCATGTCAGAACTTGCAGACTCATAGCAGTTGATTATACAACAGTTTCAAAACTTTTGAAAGTATTAAGATATGATATGATTTAAAAGCAAGGCCATTGGGTGCAGTACGATCGAAGCCTAGAGACGTCGAACTGCGTCTTTACTCGTGTGAACAGCTGCTGCAACGGTTTTTTGCAAAAAACCTTTCTTGACAATGGAAAATGGATGTGCTACGATAATCCTAAGCGTAGAAAATTGTGGGGCAAGCCCGGCCATCATCAACGGCAAGGCCAATATCGATGGTTCCAAGCTTCTGTTCTGCATTTGGTAGGATCAGCTGGGTGTAGTTTATTATAACCTGCTCAAACTAAATGAAACCATCGCGGGTGATGATGATGCGTCACAAAAGTCTAATGACAGAAATTAGCATGACAGTCGCCTATTTAAATATTTCTTAGTTGCAATCGTATGAATGATAACTAATTAAATTTTTTTGTTATGCAATAAACGGTTAGTTTTAAAGCAAAAAAGCGGGAGGTAAAAGTTTTAAAATAAATCAGTTACATATTTTTGAATTTTTGTCAAACAAAAAAATTGTAGCAAAGAATAACTTAGGGGATGCTTAGTTCAACTCCCTTCAAGGGGCAGAAAATTTTGAATAATTGTCAAGAAGCTGCACATGCCTTAGGAAATTTGTGTAAAATTTGACTATTATACTTTTTTTGGTTTTAAAATTACAGCCGCTATTTTACTAAGGTCATTTTTATGCAAAACGTATTCTTTTTCACCGGTACCATTTGTGCTACTTCTTTTGAAAACACCTATAATAAAAACAAAAATTGTGCCGTTTTCCTATCTATGTACCTAGATGCCATAGCTAATACGACTACATTTTAAACAGCCCCACAAAAGTGGCCCATCACAATGTATGGAGTTAAAAAATCTACCTTTTTCATTTTTTGATTAAAAAAGTAAAAATTAAAATAAAATTTTTTAATATTTTGATTATTTTGTGAATAACTTCAAACTGAAAAGATAGGCTTTTATTTTCACTTAAATTCTTCATCCTTGTCCGTGTACCTCTCATATTTATGAAATAAAATGTACACTAGTGTATAGTTTCATATTAAAAATCACTACTATTTTTTATTACTCTGAATTCGAAAAAAGGCTGGAATGTGGAACCACTCTCCGAAGGTAACGTAAGAAAATCTAATCACATGTTTTGTAGAAAAATATTGTGATAATTCGTCTTATAAAAAAATGTTGCTTAAGGTTTTTCTTTCTCAGGGATAAAAAAAATAATTAAAAAAATTATGTTTTATTGCCATAAATTAAAAATTATTTAAAAGTAGTGGTCCCAGAACATCATCGATGTATTGAAATAATTGCAAACACTTAGCTTTGGTATTAACATCATTGCTGCTGCCCCACAATACTACTCCATCTATGACTGAAGACGCCAACGCAGTAAAGGTGTTGAAGAGATCATCCTAAAAAAAATAGTATATCAATATTCAACTTTAATTGTCGCTTATTATGAAAGATTCTATGATTGATGATTAAATATCCGGTTTTCGTGTATATTGCTTAGGTAGGTACTTTTTGAGCAAAATCTCATGCTAAAACAGATTTTGTTTTTTTATTTTGGAGTTATAGTAAAAAATGTTCAGTTTTAATATTTTATATAACCTCTGTATACTTAATTTTTTGGCTCATTTTTTAATGGAATCTGTTAGCCCACGGCCTAGTTAAAAAGAGTGTTACTTTTCCACTTTGCACCCCTGCCCAACCGAATGTAAATCTGTTTTTTTTTTCATTCTAGTTAGTAATTTAGCATTTGTAGCATTTGTTTTCAGTTGTAGCCAACTTTTACTCATTGATTTAATAAGAAAAAAAAACTATTAACTTTTTTACTTTTTGAGATAAATATGATTTTATATTTCTGGTAAGCACAGAATTATCTCTATTTAACTAGATGATGACCAACTATTGCAATAGACCTCATAGTAAAACTAGTAAATTAATCAATAAATTGAAGCATATCTCGGTAATCTTCATACCAAAATTGCATTTTTAATTAACTAAATTTTGATGTACTTAAATGAATAGTCCAAGGGCCCAGACCCTTTTTTTTTATTAATAACAAGCTGAATTTTGGGGAACAGCTTCGTTTTGACGAGACGCCCAACTTTTCCCTCTACGAAAATTCTCGAAAATGGTAGCTAATTAAGCGCGGGGGCGTCAAACATGTCGATTTGGTGAATGATCAATATTTATTACTAACAAGTAGTTTTTTACTTAAATCTCATGAAACCGCATTGTATGAAAAACTCGAAAAAACTTTTGTCCTACACGTTCAATGGTTTTTCCGAAGCGTCCCCTACTCTTAACATGTCAAAATAATATGATCTTAAAAGTTAATTTTTTCACATATGCTTGATAATTATTATTATAATTCAGTGACATTTTTGTCCTACATGTAAAATGGAAGGTTTTCCTAGTCCTACACTGAGAAAGTGTCATTTCCAAGGGTACAATTTTCTCATTAATAACAACCTAATTTTAAAGTTATCCTTTTGAGAACGATGTTTGAAACAAGATTTTACCACTGTCCTACAAAAAAAGGGGAAGCTAGTGATGAAAACAAATAAATAAACTATACTGGCATTCGTAATTCTACATTGATGTTGAGAATTGTTAATTTAAAGTTAATTAACGTATATTAAAAGGTATTCAGTTACTGAAAAGGGTTCAGTAAGTAACTCCTTTAACTTGCGATAAAAATGTATATTTCTTTGTTTAATATACTCAAAAATACCTTTTATTCAAAACTTTTCTATAATTTCTACAATAAAAATTAAAAATAATACAACATAGTATAAAAACATTTACATATGAATTTAAAACAAAGACCTTCCTTTCTGAGGTCGTTGATTTAAAATATATTATATTAAAATATAATCAAAAATTCATCGGTTTGGCTCGACCTGGCTCGATAAGGGTAGTTTGCTTAATATCTCCTCCCCCCCCTAAACTCCCTGGGGAGTTAGTAAACTATTTTTGTACTTTGTGGAGGCATTATATACAAAATCACATGTGCATATAAAGTTAATAAATATGTATTTTTTTCGACAACATAGAGAAAAACGCTTTGGTTTAGTTTGGCCGCGCTTGATAAGGATATAGTTTGTTTAATATATCACAAAAAAAAAAAAATGGTCTGGGCCCGTGAACTAGAAAATTTAATTGAACTCTCAAAATTTCCTTTGTAGTAGGTAATAGTTTTTATTTCAAAGGTTTTATTTTCAAAGCACTCTTTGGAGAAATTGATAATATCAATAAAAACAGAAAAGTAACCTGTTTGCAACGCATCATTGTAATTCAAAAATACGAAATTGCCTGTAAGAAAAACAAAAGAATCTCCATTCTGGAAGGTGCCACAGCTAATACGACTGCATATTTGACTGATTTTGACTGATTTTCTAACAATGGTTAGTTTAAAAGATCCGCATCCTTCCATTTCCCATTANCCCCCCCCCCCCCCCTAAACTCCCTGGGGAGTTAGTAAACTATTTTTGTACTTTGTGGAGGCATTATATACAAAATCACATGTGCATATAAAGTTAAATATGCATTTTTTTCGACAACATAGAGAAAAACGCTTTGGTTTAGTTCGGCCGCGCTTGATAAGGATATAGTTTGTTTAATATATCACCCCCCCCCCCCCTAAACTCCCCGGGTGATCAGTAAACTATTTTTCTACTTTGGGATATCATACCCTAATCACATGTGCAAAAATTGCATTATTTTGGCGAAGTTTGGACAAATGTCACTGAATTGTAATAATAATTACCAAGCATCTGTTAAAAAATTATCTTCTAAGATCATATTATTTTGACATGTTAAGAGTGGGAGACGCTTCGAAAAAACCATCGAATGTGTGTGACAAAAGTATTTTCAAGTTTTTCATACAATTATCATGCAATTTAAGTAAAAAACTACTTGTTAGTAATAAATATTGATCATTCACCAAACTGATATGTTTGACGCCCCCGCGCTTTATTAGCTACCATTTTCGAGAATTTTCGTAGAGGGAAAAGTTGGGCGTCTTGTCAAAACGAAGCTGTTCCCCAAAATTCAGCTTTAACCAAAAAAAAAAAAAAAATGGTCTGGGCCCGTGGACTAGAAAATTTAATTGAACTCTCAAAATTTCCTTTGTAGTAGGTAATAGTTTTTATTTCAAAGGTTTTATTTTCAAAGCACTCTTTGGAGAAATTGATAATATCAATAAAAACAGAAAAGTAACCTGTTTGCAACGCATCATTGTAATTCAAAAATACGAAATTGCCTGTAAGAAAAACAAAAGAATCTCCATTCTGGAAGGTGCCACAGCTAATACGACTGCATATTTGACTGATTTTGACTGATTTTCTAACAATGGTTAGTTTAAAAGATCCGCATCCTTCCATTTCCCATTAAATAAAAATATTAAAATTTTCAAATCGAGAACCATGTCAGTTTTTTTAAATTAAAAAAAGTTCCTCTGCACTAACTATTATTGAATTTAACTTGCCTTAGAAATAAATTGTTTGGTGTCATGATACTTGTACCAGAAGTATGGAATGATTTTTGTACAATTGTTTATATTTTCCGCAACCCGGTAGGCTTCGTTAATCCTCCCTTCTATCATTTCCACTTTGTCATTGGCATTCAATCTCAGATCACCCAAATATATGGAGGGGTACAAACTATCACTTAACTCAAACAACCACTTGGTCCTGAAAAACACCCGTTAAAGAACAAGCTATCCAACTTAACACTTTTTACCTATCATTCTCTTGTATTACTTCCTTAGGACAATCCCTTTTCATATTATTTGGGGACATGTTGAAGCAATAGGGGTAAGCATAGTACCCCCAAGTGGCATTAGGTCTTAAGTACTTGGCGAGAAACAATGTTTCTTCCATAAACTGCCTGGCATAGTATTCAAATCTTCTGGTTGCTTCTTTTTCAATCCATGTATTTAGCCAAAGAGGGTGCCTCTTTCTCTCTACACTAATAGATAAATCCTTGTAAGGGGAGAGGGTGCCAAAATTCTGACGAAAAATCGGTCGCCAGCTCTCAAAATCTATTATGCCTATGCCTAGAATATAAAAACACTAGTAAAAATTAAATTTATCACTTAAATATGTTTATACTTGAAAATATTTAATAATTTCACTAGATAAATAGCTAGAAAGAGGTCAAAAAACATTTAGAGATTCCCTTTAATTAATTGATCATCATTTCTAACTATAAAATCCTGATGGTTTCATTATTTGAAATATCAATGACAGTAAAAAAAGTTATTAATGTCACAGAAACAAGAACAAGTATGTTTATTGGATTAAAATAAAATTTTGTTGGAAGACCGGACATTTTTCTAATTACAGTACAAGCTTGATCATGCGGACAAATTTTGAAAAACAGTTTTATCTACCTTTTTGTAATACCCTGTGGTTCAAAATTAAAAGACGATGGACTAAATGCCATAATACTGGATTTGTAACACCCTGTACTTTAACATTTTTAACAGCAGAAAAGATAAACTAGTCACCGGCCTTATATATTTTGTAGTTTTCTTACGGTAAAAAAACCTAGATTGATTGAACTGCCCGAGCAGATAGATAGCGTGGAAGATTGTGTATTCTGAAGTGTATTCTGGATATTAAAGATAATAATTCTATTTTATCAGATTATAGTATTTATTTTAATAAATGTCCAAAATGTCTTCCTTCAACTTCTCAACTTCTAAACATTTTCCACACCTTCGGATTAGTTCCTTGTGGGTCGCTGCTCTAATAGAATCTGGTGATAGATGCTCAAATGCTTTCCTTACTCTATGCATACAATTTTCCTTTGTTGTTACTGGAGTACTATACACACTATTTTTTAGTGTCCCAAATAAAACAGCATATCACCGGATTACCTATATTAGAGCAGCGACCCACAAGGAACTAAATAAATTTGACAATTAAAAACCTGTGACAGTTGTCAAGTGATGCCATGTTGATTGCACATACTTCTATCAGTATGTGGTTGATTGTTACTTATCTGTCATGGCCAACCTAAAATGTGCGAAACAAATGGAGACATCATTTTAAGAAAAGGGAAATGTTTATTCGTAAATAAAACGAAAACCACTGGAATTAGACATAGCGAAACTTTAACAAAGTTGCACTTATGTTATTCGATAGAGTGGACTGTATAAACTCTTATGCTGATTTGAATAATTTTCTTTATTTCCTGAATGTTGTACAACTACACAAATATGTTAATAGAATTTAGAAAAACATGTCATCATTTTTATTTGATTTTTCAACAACTTTTTTTTGTTTTTGTTGCTCTGCAACCGTCTCTATACAAACTTAAATTATATAAAATGTATTAATATACAAAATACTTTACCACTTACATACTGTACTTTTAGTACAGAATGCGAATACGTTAAAATTGGGATTTCCATTTAAAAATTTCGAGTTTTCCACATTTTCTGAACTTCATTTTCGATATTTTTTTTTGACCACCCTGTATGAAATCTGGAAAATTTTCATGTCAAATTCGATAAATTAGGTCTTTCTCTAGAAAATGTCCAATTTGCACAAAAAAATAAACCTATATGTTTCCAGGAAAATAAATTTTGCTGACAGTCTGCATCTGTCAATTTTTGCTTAAAAATCAAAATATCTCGGAAACGGTCAATCCTAAGTATGGAGTGTGCTATATATTTTCAACTTAAAAATAGATGCTCTTTCTAAAAATGGTATAACCGGAAGTACGATGACCTTGAAAATATTTTAGCTGGTAGGCCCCACGGTCTGTCACACCATCACAATTTCAAAAAAATCCTTCGAGCGGTTTCCCAGATATCCATCGATGGAGTTCGGAGTGGGACACCCTGTATAATAATGGCTTTATTTTTATTTTACTTAACATACAAAGGATGGCGCCTCATGCCTCAAAATCTTCTAATTTTTGAATTTTGAAATGTAATGAAATAAAATAAGAATTATTTACCTGCGAACTCGTTATCTGGTATTAATTCTTCCAGGAGTGCTTCAAAGATCTCTAGATGCAGCGTAAGATTACCTTCTTGGGGCACTCCCCCATTTCTAAGGACGGACTTTGAGCCGTCTTTTAAGATTGCGGGGAAACTTCCAGGGTCATACAAAATTGCAATGTCTTGACCACGAAACCTGTCGTTTTCGTTTTGAATTATGTTGTACTTCTCGGCTAATTGTGTGAAATTAAGTTTGTGTGAGTCGCACTGGAATGTCGGTATGTTCCAGTATACTCGTTTTTCGTTGTTCTTGATTCCGTCTAAGGTTTCGTCTTGTATATCATTGCTAAGAAAAAATAAATTGTGTAAATATTTTTCTCTGGTCGTTTAGGTATTTTACTACCTGTGAAAAAATTTAATGAAGCGCCAAAATAATCGTTCAAGGATTATTGTTTATGAAAATAGTTTTGCCTAACCAAAAATGTCAGATTGAAAAAAACAAACGAAGAATATACACTGTCATCACTTATCGCGCACCTCAAAAAGTTGTTGACGACGTTTCGAATGTCAATGTTGTCTTCGTTTTCAGAACCGACTATGACGTTTTCGTTTTAAATTAGTTTTGACAATTTATATTTGTTTCTGCATGCTCAGGTAATTTGACACCTTTGTTGAGATATTTGTAAATGACGTTTACAAAGTGATCGGTACGATAAGTATAGGTACCTAATCTAATAAATGAAGAATTTTAAAAATCAATTTTTATTAAAAACAAAATTAAAATTACAATGTGAACAATTATTAAAATTTGCTAGAACAATAGAATTCGGATTTAAAACATCGTTCTCTTCTGATGATGTTATAGTTACTGCACATTTTTTAATAATGCTCTGGGTTGCGATTCACTATGTCACCGTAGAATTTCCTCGAGAATTTCCATGTAAAATCTAGTTTGAAAATTGATTTTTATTTTCCACAGGGTCTTCGATGTATCTCTCAGCTATAGAGCAACACTTTATGTTCAATATTTTTCCTCTTAAGAAAAGCAGTTAACGTAGTATATTTTGAAATATCAACAGTTTTATGCAGAAATATTGTGGCTTTGAGTATAGAGTATTCAGTCCATAAGTTTCCTGGAGACTTTAGGGTTTTATTTCTTGAAACAAAATAGGCTAACTTTACCTTTCATGTAATATTTTCAAAATTTTTCTTGTTACACCACTACAAATAGCTTGTAGATTTTCTGATATTTCTCGCTTTGGATTTTTGGGAAATTATAACTGAGCTGAGCATCTTACTCGCCAAGCATGTTCTAAGACTGAATCGTCACTTTCTTGAATCATAACTTACAAGAAGCTTAAGTTGTAACAGAAATACTATCAAATCTATGCAAAAATATTATCTCGGGATGTTACTTGACAATAAATATTCGGTCTAATAGTAACCAAAGCGAAAACTTTTTTATGTACGATTTGTTTGTTTTATACAGGGTGTTCCTTAATGATGTGTGAATATTCAACGGTGTGATTCTACAAGGAAAATTAAAGATAGTTTACTTTATAAACTATGGAAAAATGTTCCGTTGTGAAAATAAGAGGTGTTAAAATTTTAGGAAAAAAGAATTAATTAATATTTTCGAAACTGCTTGAGATATTTCAGTGAAAGGCCTTTTATTTCGAAAACCGTCCACATTAGGAAGTTGTAACAAGAGTACATTATTTTTAGAAAATAACATTGTACATTAGAATGGTAAAAAACCTAACCTTAAAAAAATTTGAACTTAAAATGTAATAACAATGTAGTATAAGTAGCGCCCTCTATGAAATATACAAAAATAATTAGACCAGCGTATTTGGCATCCTTAAAAACCCCGGAATACCAAATTTCATAAAAGTATTTCGCACCGTTTGGAAACTCGTAAAAATTCGATTTAAAAATTTTTATTTTGTCGCTCTGTATCGCGAAAACAAGAGGAGATAGACATATAGTTTATAATACAAAAAATTCTTATTTTTTTGTCATACTATCACCCGCTGTATTTACGGGAAGTCTTTCTGAAACACCCTGTATATTAAATTTTTTAGTTTTAATTAAATTTATTCAATATTTGAGCCTGCAAAAAACGTCATAAGCGCTGCGGTCATTAAGTGTATTACTGGTTTCGAACATATCCTCAACTAGTAAAGAACACTTACTGGCCTTAATACTTAATAAACATACTACCTCTTACTTTTCTGCTTCCATAGCTAAAAACTCGGTTAGAGATTGATAATGGTTATTTTATTATTAGTTTTTCTTTTAGTATTTTAGAAAAATTAATTTAAACTACCCAGAATTAATTTAATCCGACAACGTCACTTTCAGTTCTGAAAATGAAGACTGATTTTCGAAACGTCGGCAACTTGTCGAAGTGCGCGAAATACAGTGATGTATATTTTTATTTATCTGTTATTTTCATTGAGATTTCGGTTAGGCAAAACTATTTTTATAAAAATGACCCTTGATTAATATTTTTGGCATTAATTTATTAATTTCTTCCACAGGTGGCAAAATACTCAAATAAATAAAGACAAAACGAAAACTATGACAGAAATAAGCAAGTTCAGACAATAAAGTGTTGTTCGTCTATTTTGAATACTCCAATACTGATAGTACAATAATATTTGGTTTTGCGAAATTTCAATAGAAGATGATGCACAAAAAATGTAATTATGCTATTTAATGACATCATTTTTTAATAAGTATCTTACGATAACATTTGGTTTTCTGTTTTGGAAACGGTATTTTTTAATCATGTCATACGTATAATATAATTCTGTTTATACCTAGATGTTTTGCTAATATTTATTGTTTGACAATATGATTTTAGTAAAAACAAAGTATTTCTCAATCATTTTGTAATGTTTATACGTTTATACTTATCAGATATAACAAAGTAAACTCAGTAGACAATGTTTATTTCCTTTGATAACTTTGATTAAGTAGCAATTTACTGTCGTTGCAGTATTGTTTACGCGCAAAGCGTTAGGAAATTGAAATCCCAAGAGGACAACACATCATACTGGTAATTCTTAGAGTGTGACTAAAAATGCAACTATTAATTTATTGAGTTACAAAAATTTCCATATAATTATGAAGTGATGAAATTTGAAGTAAACTTTTTACAAATTGGTAATTAATGATGTCACCCGTATTTGTCAATCAAACTAATTATCAGCGAATAATTTCAAACGATACATGCAGGTGATAAACACAATAGATTTTTTAAATAAAGTACGTTATTTACTTTTTATGGTATCTAGTTTGTTGTATCTAGTAGCTTCATGATTTTAATGAAAAAAAAAAAATTGTTATGTCTTTCTACTTTCAAAGATGCGCGGTTTCTATAGAGAAGTTCTAATAAAAACCAAAATAAGCTTTCGACTTGAATATTTTTAAATGACTAGCGATTAAAAATTTTTATTTTCAATTATAAAAATTACGGTGAGATTCAAAGACGTATCCAATCTAAATACAGCAATAAAAGCATAAAATATAAGACTCACCAACCTATTTAATTGTTTGGAGTCATCTTGCACAGCCAACTTCACCACCGCGAGAACAACGAAACTCCGTAACATTTTCATTTTCGCGGTCCAAACGAACCGAGCCAGCATTCTCGAGCAACACACAAAGCTATTGAATTTTATACGAGGACGGGGTTTTATCGTTTTCCTACCGTTTACAATAAATAATAAATAAATAATCGCCTTATTTAAATGAACGGCACGGCATTTCCAAAGCTGTATATAATTGACTTCCTACGGATATTCAAATTAAGACAATTAGCGCTAGCGCGGCCAGTGGCATTTTTTTAACCGGCAGCTGCTTTAGTGTGGATCGTAGTTTATCGACATTTTTGGGATTTTTTAAAATGTATACAGATTGTGGTACCGGTTAATAATAATCATACTCCGTTCCGTAGATTACTGCCGTCCAGTTTGGCCTCGACCCGCATATTACTGCAATAACTGTAAGGGTGCTATCGATTTTAGAACTCCTAGGTTAGTTCTGTTTACCGGAAAAACCGAGTTGGCACAGGATCAGAACTAAAGATTTCCGGATTTTCCAAAGCCAATGAAATCTAATTTCATCGTACCAGTCCCCCAATGACTACAATATTTCGTGTAATAGAATTGCCGCAAATTATTGGCAATAAAATAAGATTTAACGAACGTCTTCTTTTAGCTGCTATTTCGTGATCGCCATTCGAAAACTTGTCAATTTTAAATTGATTTTAAAAATGCCGTTAGCCGTTTGATCATGAATAGGCCATATTTCAAGGGTATATAATAAATAGATTTACATTAAGTTACCTTAAAAATATTTTTACTTCCTTTAAGTTACATTTTAAAAAAATTAAACACGCGTTTAAATTTCCTCGGGTTTGTCAATTAGTTTTCAGGGTTCTGTATAAAACTGGCTAATTTTGAAAACATCTATTTTCATTGACCCAAAAATAAAGATTTCCGCGTGAACTCTTTCTGAGGCATATGCCGGGTGTTGTAGTTGTTGTACAGGGTTGTAAATAAGTGCGAAATATTTTAGGGAGTGGTTGCCGGTTATTTTGTGAAAAAGAAAAAAATTGAAGTGACCAATTTCATTCAGAATTAATGGTGGATGTCTAAAAAAATATTAAAACGGGAAAAAGTCAGTGGCGTACTATTTTTTCTAATTAAAAAAGGTTGTGGCATTCACGTACAAACGTCACTGGTGCAAGTAGAAATATTCGGATTAACCCCAAAAAATGCACATTTATCCCTCCAAAGCCCATTGAAATAATTAATAAAAATAAATAAAAAATTAAAACTTAATCACTCTGTATCTGAGAAATGAAGCATATTTCGACCTACGTTTATATGAACTGTTTTTCACAAAATAACTGCAGCAACCACCCCCTAAAATATTTCTCACTTATTTACAAACATCCTGTACTTTTTTACAATTTACATACAATTTTTTTTTAAATCGCATTATCTTGAATACGGCTAATTTGAAATATGGAAAAGTTTATACAAAGTGATCCTAAAATTTAACGTAGAATCCAAAAATGCAATAATATGCAGGGTGTTCCATTTAAAATAACCAAGTTGGTGGCAATTGTACTCGTATAAGCGGAAGTGCAACAGTTTTGAAAATATTTTCATTGAAACCTGGGTATTCAAATTTTCAACAAAATCATGGTAACTTCGTATCCTTCTAATGAACCAGTTATGTGAATATATCTTACGCCTAGTGGCAAATAATTTCATATTCTTTTTGTAGATTGAGAAATTTAGATTTTATTTTATCAGATAGGGTGTTTTCTAGGTTTTCTTCTCCTATAAGTTTTTTGTATTTCTAAGATTTCGCGTAATTAATTATTATATTAGACATTACCAAGTAGTGATGTGGGCGTAGCTAGGATTTTTGCCAGGATTGCAAGCTTTATGGAGGCCTCTAAAAAAAAACGCACGCTCTTCAAAACCTAAACACTTTTCGTTTCATTCTAAAAAAAAAGTAAAGCAATCAGTTACCTTACAGATATAAAATTTCAAAATCTAAACATTTCTTGAAACTTGCAGCATGCAGCAAAATTAGGGGGGTCGTGACCCCCCTGGCCCCCTGCCCCCCTGGCTACGCCCATTGGTCGGTATTTGAGTAACGCTATTTTGTTGGAATAGCGTTCCCCATTACCACTATGGAACACTGTAAAGAGTAACGAGGAAATTTTTGTTTCCCTGAGTATTGATGAACATTTGAAACCGAGCAGCATCAACATAAATTATTTCAACAACATTGTGTACATTACATATAAATCGCGGTATAATATTAAAAATGTTTTGCTGTTCATCATTATTTTAAAATAATTCGCTATCACCGAACTTGATGACAGCTTTTTGATAATTTTTTTATTAATATGATCGTCAACAGGTATACGATCTCAGATATTAACGAAGCTTTTGACCGTAAGAAATTGCGGAATTCCAATGCTAGCAGTCTACCACCCTGTAAAAGCCTGCTGTTACAGCATTTGCGAACAAACTGTATATCTACTGTTTGGAACAATCATCGATCTTGTACTAAAAGATCGATGGGAACAATGATCACCTGAAAAATCCAACCACATATCAACCAGAAAATAATGGTTGGGTACAAGAAAATAACCAGCACCATTTTAAATGGTTTGAAGGGGATCAGCTGCTAAATTAAGTCAGTGATTCACTAATACTCTATCAGGTATTTAATTATTATTATTTCAAATTATTATATACATAAATTTGTAGCTACTTATTCATAATTGTATTAACTTGGTTAAATTCTTACAGAATGCGATATTGAAAACGATCAAACCACGGACTGCAGTAGTAGTACCTAACAAAGATAATGAAGATATCGACTGCAAAGATGAATTTATTAAAATCATTAAACATTTCTTCCAATAATATATTTATAAAACCATATATTTTTTTTTTATTTTGCATACGATGGCTATGAATATAATTAAACTATTTATTCATTGGATTTCTTACTGAAACAATTCTTTTCTCCTATAATCATAATAAACAATAAAATTTTAATGAAATATCGAAGTTTGAATTAAATTAAATTTTAAAAACAAAGTTCATAAAATTCTAAAACATTTGTTAATTTATTAGATTTATTTTTTATTTTTTTATTAACATGAAAATTATAGTAGGAATAAGTTTCTGAAAATTTATTTTTTAGTCATAAATAATTCTATATAATGAAATTATCCAAAAATATATTACCTCAGCGCTCGCACCCACAACTGACCTTCAGCTTTGTTTGGAAAGATGTTAGAACTTTCGAAACTGTCCGACTACTAAGGAAACATCTTTTAATAGTTTCCCAAGTAACATATAAAATTCAGCTTTTATACTATAACGTCAGTAGAATTACAATTTATCAAAGTTTAAGGTTGTCTGGCGGGGGTTGCCATGTACTAAGGGTTTGGCAATGGATGACGTGATTTCTACTATTATCCCGAAAAATATAAAAAAAAATACGCTTTATACATTGATGATTTTGGGTAGCAATTTTATACACCTTTGTTACCTGTTGCCTGCCAAATCCACGATGATCCAAACTTCATAGTCGCCGATCGTTCCTACCTCTGTTGGGGACATGCCCAGATAAACTTTCAGTTTTTATATTATGAGGAACGTCTGGCGATCACGGGCTCTTAGACTATAGGTCTACCTTTTTCATAGAAAAAACGTCAGAGAATAAGAATTTTTTATTAAAAATTCAATACACCAGGGCACAAAAAGGTTATGACAATTTAAACATATGTAAAGTAAGTACTGTAGGTGGCACCCTCTAAGAATGTATAGTAAATTTTAAAACAGACTTCAATTTCTCATGCCAGATAATACTTCTATACCAAGTTACAATTACCAATAAAGTTATTGAAGAAAAACTAAAATAAAATTGTAACACCTTGTATCTCGGTAACTGTGAAATTTTGGACTAAGGTACCTAACTCGATTTAAATAATCATAAAGAATCTTGTCATAAACAGTCAAGTACCGGCCATCACAAGGGCTAGGCAAATTGAGGCCTTGGAGACGACTGACAATACGGTTTGAGGAGTAAGCCAATTGCTTGTAGACAGTCCGGTCTGCCGAGGATGTGAATCGGCGGATGAAACTTCTCTGCATATCCTGGGCGAGTGACCGGGATTTGCACGTAGCAGAATGGCGCTCCTTGGGACACCCTATTTGGAACCCAAGGAGCTGAGAGAAGTGTCAGCAAGGAAGCTTTTGAACTTTGTAAAAAGGACAAATCTACTTGCTGAATAGGACTAGTAGTGGGGCGCACAATAGGCCTAATTAGGCCGCAGTGCTATGAGACTTTTAAAGGACCAACCACTAGATGATGAAGATGAAGATGAAGATGAAGAAGCCAATTGGAGCTCCGTGATCGTACTGCAACTTAAATATTCGCGTCAATATTGTATATTTATCTTTCAGCTTCTCTAATGAATAGGCAGATTCGAGGAGTGGACAGATTGAGGTATCGGTATCGTTCGGTTTTTCCTTCCTATCCCTTTATGTTAATCTTTCACCCTCTCTAAGGAGTAGGCACATCGAGGCCCTATTCCCCTATGTTGAGACCTCGGTGCCGTTCGGTCATCTCTTCCCATCCTCCCTCCTTCAAAATTGAACCAACTTTAAATTTTTGAAATAAAAGTTGAGCAAAAAGAGGATTTTCAGATGATCTGAAAAATATTTTTGAAATTGGGAAAAATAATTTCGATGACGTTATAGCCCTTAGGAAGTTAAACTTATAAAGATAAAAATAACACGACGCGGTTATTACAGTTTCCTATTAGATCTTTCCGTTCTTCTAGAATTTCGGCCAACCATGCCACCCTGTACAGGGACAGGGACATTCTATACAGGCTGAGTCAGTTTTTTGTAGTAGGACTGCAACAGTTGATAGAGAATCATTTTTTAATAAGAAAAGTTCCTATAAATGTAGGTCTTAGAACGCTTCGTTTGTGAGATATAGGGTGTTGAAAACAAACTTTTTTAAGAATTTTTCTTAATATCTCTAAAAGATCAACATATATTGAACTGAAATTTGGTATTAATAACACATTAGTTATGGTGAAGTTATTCATTTCACCCACCAGTGACGTGCCTGAGGTGGATACAGCCCCCTTTAAAAAAATAATTCGTGCGCCCGTGAATTTTTCTGGAAAATAACATCATTTCTAAATTTTTTTATCAATTATGAACAAAACAGATCTCTCAATTTTTTATAAAATTGACGGTTTTTGGTTAAATTCATTTGGCATGAAACTGTTCCAACGATATTGGTACCTAATACATTTGTGAATTAATAAGAAAAATATGATGCGCACTGAAAATTAACAGAAACGATTGAATGAATAATAACAGTTGATAGAGAATCATGT